TGATTCTCATATGAAACTCCTCGATGAGCTATAAAAGAGCCAGAGAGAGTGGATCGTGCGCGTTATAAGGGGGAAGTTAGGAGGAGGAAGACTCGTTCAACGATATATCACACACCTGCTTCAAAATATCTGATCGCGAAGTAATAGAATAATGGGGCCAAAAGCAATTTGGGCTGAGAATGCTTATCAAAATTGGGCCAAGAATTGTTAATCAATTTGGTCTGCAAAAATAGCAAAAAGGCCAACCTAATAGCATAGCAAATGGGTTGAAAATAAAATATACACGATAGCCAAAATTCCCGATCGATTCAACAAAAAAAACGACGGTACATGACTTATATATATATATCACACAATATTTATTTAATAATAATAAGCAATTTATAACAGTTAGACAAATAACGAGAATAATAATAATAACAATAATCATATTAGCAAATAATAATAATAATAATAAAGAGGACAAATAATAATAAGGAAAAATAAATAATAGCTCCAAAAATCCATGAACGAATGGGGTATTACAGCCTATCCACCTTACAAAGAATTCAGTCCTCGGAATTCGAAAATAAACTAGAAAGCAATACAAAAATACAAAGGGAACTCAAAACTCAAAGTTCGGATATCGCCTCCGGAGCTCGGCCTCCTTTTCCCAAGTCGTCTCGGTCTCATCGTGTCGGCTCCACTGCACCTGCACTAAGCTCACTGCCCGGTTCCTCAGCTGATGGACCTTCCGGTCCAAAATGGCTACCGGCACCTCCTCGTAGGTGAGGTCTTTCTCGACCTGCAGCTCGCCGAAGTCCACCACATGATCAGGATCATGCACATACCTCCGAAGCATCGAGACATGAAACACGTCGTGCACACCCAACAAGTCTGGTGGTAAAGCCAGCCGATACGCTAAGTTCCCGACTCGATCGAGGATCTCGAACGGTCCAATATAGCGAGGTCTAAGCTTCCCCTTCTTCCCGAAGCGAATCACACCTCTCATGGGTGAAACCTTCAAGAAGACATGATCTCCCACTGCATAAACATGCTCTTGCCTCTCCCGGTCGGCATAGACCTTCTGCCTCTCCTGGGCAGACCTAATAGTCTTTCGGATCTCCTCAACTGTCACTGCAGCACTCTGAACAAAATCCGGACCTGTAATCCTTCTCTCTCCAACCTCATCCCAATACAAAGGAGTCCGAACCTTACGTCCATACAAAGCCTCGTACGGGACTATCTTGATTGAAGAGTGGTAGCTGTTGTTGTAGGTCAGCTCGACTAGCGGAAGGGCATACTCCTAAGTCAGGCTTCGGTCCAAGACCACAACCCTCAAAATGTCCTCTAAGTACTGGATCACACGCTCCGACTGACCATCTGTCTGGGGGTAAAAGGTTGTACTGAACTCCAACCTCGTCCCCATGGCTCGGTGCAACGTCTTCCAGAACTGGGATGTGAACTTGGCATCTCGATCCGAAACAATCTCCACGGGCACTCCATGAAGCTTAACAATGTCCTTGACGAACAATTCAGCGTAATCACTCGCCTTCATGGTCGTCCGGACTGGCAGAAAATGGGCAGACTTCGTAAGGCGATCCACTATCACCCAAATCGAATCATACCCGCCCCTTGACTTCGGCAGTCCCACTAAGAAATCCATGGTGATGCACACCCACTTCCACAGGGGAACTTCAAGGGGCTGCAACAACCCTCTCGGTTTCTGGCGCTCAGCTTTCACTTGCTGACACACCAAGCATCCATCCACGAACTTCGCTACTTGCCTTTTCATGCCTCGCCACCAGAAAGATTTCCTCAGGTCCTGATACATCTTCGTGCTACCAGGATGGATTGTGTATGGGGCACTATGGGCCTCTCTCAAAATCTCCCTTCGCAGTTCCCACACCCTCGGAACACAAAGTCTACCCTCGAAGACCAAGGCCCAATCAGATGCGACTGCGAATCGTCCAACTCTACCGGCTCCTAACAACTCCCTCATCCGGCATAGGAAACGGTCATTCGGTTGCTCGGCGACTATCCTTTCTCGAAGAGTCGGTCCCACAACCAAAGAGGCCAACATGCCCCCAGCTGTCGAAGTCGACTCCACTGCCTCTAGCTGTAGCCGCTCGAACTCCCGAAGAAGGACATCCTGCCCGGTGAATAGGCAAGACAGCTAGCCGTAACTCCTCCGACTAAGGGCATCGGCTACCACATTAGCTTTCCCAGGGTGGTAGCTAATCGTGCAGTCATAGTCCTTGACCAGCTCCAACCACCTACGCTATCTCATGTTCAGCTCTTTCTGAGTGAAAATGTACTTCAGGCTCTTGTGGTCGGTAAACATCTCACACTTGCCTCCATAGAGGTAGTGCCACCAAATCTTCAAGGCGTGGACAACTGCAGCTAACTCCAGATCATGAGTGGGGTAGTTCTGCTCGTGAGGCTTCAGCTGCCTCGAAGCGTAGGCTACGACTCTCCCTTGCTGCATCAGAACACAACCCAAGCCCATCTTCGAAGCATCACTATAGATCGTGAACTCCAAAGTAGGGTCGGGTATGGATAGGACGGGCTCAGTAGTGAGTCTCCTCTTCAACTCCTGGAAACTCTCCTCGCATTTCTGACTCCAATCAAACCTCACGGCCTTCTACGTAAGGTTGGTTAGTGTAACACCCCGCTTATCAGAGTAAATTTTTCGCAACTTATTTCGAAAATACTTATAAATTTTTCGAAACCTTCTTAACTCGGGATGCTACTAACTTATCTACTTTAAAAATATGTTTACTTGAACTTTATCTAAAAACTAAGTTAGACATAAATAAAACAGATTTTAAACATTGAACAAATATAAAAAAACTTAACAGTTCATACAATCAACTTGATAAATCAACCTTTAAAATCACACTTAAAATCACACTTGTTCAAATCTTAAAGAACCGTAGCGGAAATCTTACAAGCGTGGTTTACAAACCGAAATCTATGGAAAATTCTCAATAGAAACTTATTCACATCCACGACCACTACAGCTCCTCACACCTGCGCACCGTCTTTAATTCCTGAAAAAAACGATAATAGTGGGGCGTGAGTACTAATCAACTGTACTCCGTAAAAATTCATACTAAAGTAAACAACAATAATAATATCAATATCATGATCTTTGGTATGTATTTATGCTTAATCTTTCGGTATCTAACCGATACTTTAACTTGAACTTTGCAACTACCGGTAACTTGGGCCAGTTCTCACGTGATCACATTCTGGGGGTCGCCTCCCACAGAACCCAGTCTTGACTGAGCGAGCTTAATACTTTACTTAACTTTATACATACCTCGAACATGATAATAGCCATTATACTCAATGTAATACCCAGTCTGGGTCCCCACCTTTCTTCTCGAAAATTGTTTGAAAATCTTAAGTGTTGTTCTGGTAGCTGACTCCTCAAGCTACATAAAAATATAAGCAAATAAATACTAATTACTATGCTCTTAATATTCTCAATAAGTGCTTGACTTGGCTAACTTCTCTGGATTTAAAATAATCAGTTCTAAGTGGCTAACTCTTCCCAGAAAAATACTAAATAAACTTATAGAGCTTCAACTCGACATACATGTGGTCTTGATGTTATATATGACTGATTTCTCATCACAAAATTCTAAAATTTGACATGCATGCTTTCAACATATATAAACATGTCATAAAAATTTCATAATTTTATCATGCATATATCTCAACTTATGCCCTTTCAAAGTCACTGCTGGAACATGCACATAAAATTCAGCTTGCACGATAAACTTTAAAAATTTATAACTCGAGCTATACTTAACCAAAAGACATGATTCTTGCTCCTATGTACTCATTATTTACACAAGAAATAGCCATAATAATTTTAATATACCAGGTTATACATAGCATGCTTAATTCGAAATCAAACAACACATAACATTCATGCATACGATCTAACATAACTTCTTACATCATGGCATGATTATAAATACTTAAAAGCTAGAACTTTAGCATATTTTAACACATATGAAGGCACTTTAAATTATCTATAAAGTATTCTAAAAGAAGGACTTATTACCTTCTTCTTCTTGCTTGAAACTAAAATTTGAACTTGAAAATTAATTCTTCACCTCTCCAAAATTCCCACAACTTATTTATCTCTAATGAGTTATATAACTTTTGAAACTTTTCTTTGATGAAAATAATCTGATTTAAGGCCTCTATTTATAGCCACAAAAGAGGGGACAAGATGATTGAGTGAAGAAATAAACAAAATAAACGAACAAAACTTGTAAAAATAAATAAAGATATTAAATGGTAATCTTAACTTGTAAACTTAACCAATCTATAGTCAATGCTTAAAAGTCCCCATAATGTGATCCCAATCTGATTGACATTAAAAAAATTCGTGAAATATGGAAAAATCTAGAATTTACGGAACCGAATTCAGACTTAAAACGTATAGTTACCGTAAAATCAAAAATTCTAATAATTTCAGATTTCCTTCTTTTGCTTTTGGTATTTTTTTTTTCTTTTAATGCTAAAAAAAACTTTTCTTATCTTGTAGTCTACTAAAAATATAGAGAGAAAATAATTTAATTTATTTTCTGGAAATGAAATCGAACTTAAATTTCCGACTACAATCGAAAACCGGAAAAACTCAAAAAATTTTAAAACCTTCATATTTCTCTCTTAATAATTTAAATAGACTAAACTGTCTAAATAAATTAATATGCTCAAATGATTAAATTAAACACTCATGTCAAATTAATCATAAACTTATTAAACAACTCGAAATAATTAATCCCTACTAATAAAATCTATTTCTGAAAATAAACGGATCAGAATTAATTAATGAAATGGCTCGATTACTAAATAAAATTTAACCGAGAATACTTTCAACTTAAATTCAAACTTATAACTTATAACTTAATAACTGGACTCGCTACTAGAAACGAGCATTTTTAATAAAAGTAAATATTTCAAATCTCAGAACTAAAATAATTACTTTTATTAATAACTGAGTGGGATATTACAGTTAGTGGCTGGGCTATCTTTGAGAAGCCCTCGATAAACCTCCGGTAGTATCCTGCTAACCCCAGGAAACTACGAACATCAGCGGCACTTCTTGGCGTATCCCACTTGCTCACCGCCTCGATCTTGCTGGGATCCACCTCAATGCCTCTCGCCGTCACAATGTGTCAAGGAACGCCACACGGTCTAACCACAACTCGCATTTCGAGAACTTAGCATACAACTTCTCGCGGCGAAGAGTCTCCAGCACAATCCTCAGATGCTGCTTGTGCTGGTCGATGTGTCGGGAATAAACCAGGATGTCGTCGATGAACACAATGACAAACTGGTCCAGATAAGGATGAAAGACCCTATTCATAAGGTCCATAAACACGGCCGGGGCATTGCTGAGTCCGAACGGCATAACTACGAACTCATAGTGGCCATAACGGGTACGAAAGGCAGTCTTAGAAATATCCGACTCCTGGATCTTCAGCTGATGATAGCCAGACCACAAATCGATCTTCGAGAAGACACTGGCTCCTCTCAGTTGGTCGAAGAGATCCTCAATACGAGGAAGGGGGTACTTGTTCTTGACCGTAAGGGTATTCAGCTTCAGGTAGTCAATACACATACACATGGATACGTCTTTCTTCTTCACGAATAGGACGGGTGCACCCCACGGCGAAACACTCGGTCAAATAAAACCGAGTTTGAGCAATTCCTAGATCTGGGCCTTAAGCTCTTGAAGCTCCTTCGGCACCATACGGTAAGGAACCTTAGACACTGGGCCAGCTCCCGGTACTAAGTCAATGGTGAACTCCACCTGGCGGTTGGGTGGTCCTCCGGGCAGCTCATCGGGAAAAACATCAAGGAATTCGCTAACAATAGAAACTCGCTCTAGAGTCCGCTTGGAATCATCCTCGGACACCATAGAAACAAGATAGCCTTGGCAGCTACCATTGTAAAAGGCTCTTCCTAGCTTGCACAGAAGAGATGACTCGAGGCACAGTCCTCGACTTCACCCCAAAGAATACAACTGGCTGATCAGAAATGGGAAAGAGAGTGACTTCGCGCTCCTGGCAACGGATGTCGACTCGATAGCGGGTGAGCCAGTCCATACCCAAGATCACATCGAAGTCCCACATTTCAATCACATATACACTGGCCTCCAAAATGTGTCCACCAATAATGATTGGAAGACTGGGAATCATAGAATCAGAAATAATAGTCCTTCCCGAGGCTAAACTAACCTCGAGAGGGTCACATGGGCACACATTACTAATGGACAAAGCCTCCAAGCAATGAGTAGAAATAAAGGAATGAGTGGCTCCGGTATCACATAAAGCATATACAGGCACGTTGGATATCGAAAGCATTCCGGACATAGTACCTGCATTGTTGGCTGCCTCATCATGAGTGATGGTATACACGCGGGCCTGACACCCAGCTCTCTGCTGGTAAGGTGGGGGCTGTCTGGGCTGCTGCTGATGGGGTGGAGGTGGAAGTTGCTGCTGCTGCTGAGGGTAGGGTGGCTGCTGCTGTGGCCTCTTTGGCTCGGGGCACATATGCGAAAAATGTCCGACACGGTGGCAATTGAAACAGTGTCTGTCGGCTGCTCGGCACTCTCCTGGCCCATGGAACTTGCCGCAGTTAGGGCACCTCGGAAGCTGTCCCTGAGGGGGTTGGTCATCACGCCTCCCGAAGTTCCCTTTCCTTCCTTTCTTTTTGTTTTGATGGTAGTCGGCCTTCCTCTTGCCCGAATTAGAACCAGGCGCAACAGCTGAGATAGGCTAAATCATAGGGGTCTGATGATAGGATGGGGCAGCCGCCTTCTGGCCATTCTGGCAAACCTCTAACTCGGTGGCTCGGCGGACCATCTCGGAGTAAGACAGAGCTCCATGGCCAGTCAGGGTGTAGCAAAGATCGGGGCGAAGACCATCACGAAAACGATAGGCCTTCTTCTGGTCGGTATCCACGAGCATCGGGGAAAATACGCACATATGAGTGAAGTCGCGCTCGTAGACATCCACGGGACGGGGTCAATGCATCCTTCTCAGCACGAGGACGAAGCCTCAATAGTCATTCCACCAAGTCCTAGCATATCCGGTCATCACGAACGAGGCACAACGGATTTTCACCTCATCAGTGGTGAACAACAGATCAAAGATACTCTCCACCTGTTGAAGCCATTCTGCCACAACTTCGGGGCCCTTAACTCCGCTGAACGTCGGAGGATTCATGTTACGGAAATCGATCACAGCTTGGGTAATGAGATCTCTACCCGGAGCATGCTGATGAGGATGGGGAGGAGGCGGGGGAGGTGGTTTCTGCTGATAGTTATTGCGAGTTTGACGAGCCATTTCTCTACATTGAAAAATGAGCCGCAAAGATTTAGCAGAAAATAAAAGAAGTCTAGAGTTCGACCCTAGAGTTCACATTTTAAAGGTGGATAAAACCTAACCCCAAATATTAGCATTACATCACTCAAGTATATACCAATACTTATTTAAAACATACCTTAAGCAGTGCGGCATGACGAAGACGAGTGGTCAATACACAAGATCAATTCACATAATCATTTAATCACATATAAACCAGTCTACAGAAACGCAGACTGGCTCTGATACCAAACTGTAACGCCCCAAAGATTTTTAAAGACAATTCCGGGGCTCTGTGAAAAGTTAGCTCAGGTTGTGGTGAAGTTGGGATCTCTACTTTCTGCACTTCCTTCCTCGGGCCCTTTAGTTCGGGCAAGATCACTGTAACAGATTTGGCATGCTCTGGCTGGCTCGGCAACTTCCCCTTATCTAATTCAATCTCGATGTTACCAACCCGTGTGGCCAGCTGGCCTACTTGCATCTCGAGACGCTTAATGGACGCATCCTGGTTGGTGATGAAGTTCAGAATCTTGTAAAGCTTGTCGTTCATGCTCGGCGGGGTTTGTCCGGTTTTTGGTGCTGGCAGCCTTAACATTCCCCTCGGTTGCTGCTGCTGCGGGACAAAGTTGGCTTGAGGTGGTTTGTAACGCCCCAAAGATTTTTAAAGACAATTCCAGACTTATCCAAAAATTTTGTTTTAAAATTTCGAAAACCATTTATCGATCCATGAAACATTTGGCGTTACTTGAGAACTTTCCAAAGTTAAACACATAATCAGCATAAGGGAAACGAGAATATTCAACATAATTCAAGTTCCAAGACTAAATTTCAACATATCTAGCAATAGGATTGTCAACATAATCCAAACTGATAAAGATATTCCACATGGTTCAACAGTTCAACCAATCCCGAAAGCAATAGAGATGAATAACAAAGTCTGATAATCCCAACATAAATATCAAAGCATGCGGAAGCAATAAAAAGCATTAATAATGTTTTACCACCCACTCGTCTTCAGTCTCGTCATGCCCAACACGTGCTTATCCTGCATCAATGAAGAGCAGGTGGGGATTAGCACAAATATAAACGAGGTGCTCACCACTATGCATAATATATTGGTAAGAAGCCTATACTAGAGTGTTCAGCATAAATTTTGTAATGCTTTGAGTTAAGTTTCTGTGAGTTTTGAAATTTCGTGATTTGGAGTTAAATTGAATTTATTATGAATCTTTGAAGTTGTACATGCATGCAGTTTTTGTAATTCCGGGTAGATTTGTAGATCATGATTTTGGGCTTTTTTGACGATCTTAATGTGGCTATGTGAAAATGTGATCATCCTGAAACCTGTAGCACACGTTATAAGCTTTCATTCGGATTTGAAATCATGCAATTTTAAGTTTTGGTTGATTTTACATGATTTTTCCAAGTTGGGGTTATGCCCAGAATTTTAAAACAGTGACTGTGATTATGCTCATAATGTATGCTCTGAAATGAGGCCCTTAATATGATTATTTGTAAAAATACTATTCTTAGAACTTGTAGCATTTCAAGTGTAGTTTTTTAAGGTTTTGAGTTTGTATGTGTTGGAGTTTTATAACATGAGATATTGATGTTTTAGTGAACTGCTGCAAATTTATAAATAATTTCGTTGGCAGATTTCTTGACCTAAGTGTTTTAAGCTTAAACTCAGTTTTAAAATTGTTGTTGGCTTCAGTGATCAACATGAAACTTGTAGATGCATGCCTTAGGTTTAATTTCAGGCGTGAATCATGATCATGTGACTTATGTGCTGAAAATTGTGTCTATTTTAAGTTCGTTGTGTATACTGGATTTCGTTAAAATTTTGTTCCGATCTCAAAATAGATATTAGCCCCTAGATTATGCATGTTTTTGTGACCTTTGTGATATATGTTGGACTAGGTTTGATTAGTGTTATGTGGTTGACTGAAAACACCTACGAGATAAGCTTTACGCTGAGATCTCGAAGTGTGGAAATTATAGGTATTGTACGTGGATTAGACTCGTTTAGGACTGCCGACACGATTACTACCTGAGTAAAAGCTGTCATGACGGCCGAAACTGTTAGTCGGAGGAGTCAAACAATCTAACCATTCTGTTGTGCGGCATTGACCGCCGAGTTAGGATTGTTCCTGGCAGTGATGCTAATGTTCGATCCCTTTGGGGAAATTGTTGTTGTCAACCCAAACCTTTGTGATTTTGAGTCTTGTGGAGAAACCTTTTTCTCATTTGAGTCCTTAAGAAATTGTGAAATCCGGAAAGTAAAATTTCTGAAATGCACCTCGAACCGAGTGTCAAATCTGACTGGGTGTAAACACGCGAAGTGGTGGCCGAGCCCGAACGCCCGTGCTGAGAGACGTGAGGCCAACTGCAGTGGCCGACCGTTGACTCGCACAAGAGCTGCCGCGCATCACCGAACGCACGAACTCCCCAGGTCAGTGTGTACGGCCAAACCTTGACCTTGTAGTTGGTATTCGAGTGGGTACATGTACGCGTCCCAACGCCCCGCATATGCAGCGCCAGCATGTGTGTCACCTCTCGGGTGACAGTGTATTAGACCCAGTTCGACATTGTCCTTTTAGGGATCTTTGAACCAGATTTTTGGTCAAGTATATGATGATCTTTTGAACCATTATATGATTTCCCTAATCAACAACCCTCGATGTGTGAGGCTTGTCGATTGGTTTCTTTGCCACATGCGAGATTTTTTCGAAATGGCGAGATAGTATTTCCGTATTAGTGTGGGGCGGAGCCTTGAGTCTTGATTAGAGA